GATCTGAAACTTTAATAGAGAGACATCCGAAAACTGAGATAGTTATGCTCTGATTTCACATTCCAGGATAAAATTTTCGGCAAAACAGATTAAATATTTACAGTCAAAGAAAAAGACATGATTATTCTGCAAAACTTTTGATCTATTAAATTTTCAAAGTTTCATCATCTCTTTTGATTATGATATCTTCGAAAATTAAAAATAATTATAGGCGATAAATTTGGCCTGAAGTTATTATCACTGTTTTAGTTATCACTTCACCTAATTTGTACACATTTCCGAAACCTCGAAAGAGCCTTCCGGATGTATAACAAATTATATACTATTATTTCCGGAAAAAAAGAGGGAGAAAAGTCAACAACAAAAACATTTTCATGGTTCCATATAAAACAAAATCTGAAACCTAAAAACAAAAATGAAGATTTCGCCTGCTTATATGAAATATGGATGGAATAAATATGAAAATGATTATTTATGGAATGGAAATTTTTTAATACACTGAATTTTTCCTTTTTTTTGCGGAATATCAACGAGGTAGACAGGAATTATCAGATATCTGGTGGATAAGAAAAAAAAAGCGAATGAACAACAACTGAAATAAAAAAAATGACATAATTGGAAATTAGGAAAAAAATACTCATTAAGAAGTAAATTGTGTTTTCCGGAATTTTCTGACTTTCTTTCAAAAAAACAGCATTTCCCGGAAAAACATAAATGAAAATAAGAATGAAGAAAAAACAACAAGATGGATTGATCCCTATATATATGTACAAGATAAAAAAATGAAATGATGATAATAATAATGAAACCCTTTAAAAGGGAGAGAAAAAAAAAACATAAACCAATATTTTGATAAATTGAGGCAGTTATGTGCCTGAGAAACAGAAAGACAGCCTGAGACATTATTTTTAGCCTGCACTTCAGAACAGTATTAATGCAATTGTAACATAAATATTAATTTAGAATAAATAAATGAATTGTGGGAAACGTTCAACATCTCGGTTATACAAAATTAATGAATGATAAAATCATTTTTTCATTAACCGTAGAAGTGCCATATATGGGAATAATTTCAAGCCATTTTTAGCTTTCTTAAATTTACAATAAAAAAATAAAACACCTAAAGTGAAATTATTTTTGAAATATGGAACATTTTACTTGATATTATTTTATCTATTTCCTTTTTTTCAAAAAGAAATGAAATTTTTGTTCAATGTTTTTTTTTTTCGTTTCCAACAAAACATCAATATGGATTAAATTTTTTCATGTCTAAAATAAACCTTTTTACAGTAGCGCTAGCAGTAGAAAAAATAACACTGCAACGAAGGAATGAATGAATTATGCCTTAAAATGGCAGATAATACAAAGATTTAAAAAGAACTGACATATATTCCTGCTAGATTCTTCAACATATATATATATATATATATAAAAGTGAGATTTAAACCTGAAATTTTGCTAAATACAGGATGAGGAGAATGATAAGCTGTTGTGGAGATAATCATGGAATAAATTTTCACATGAGAGATTTCAATGTTTTGCTTGTAGCAAATGAAGATTAAATGTAAGAAAATCGGAACATGCTTGGCCACAACGGTTGCATTTGAATGGATTCTCATATCCGTGATATCCCATATGTATATGATATAATGGCTCATCTTGGAATGCCATTTTGCAATGTCCGCATGAAAAACGCCACATTTCTAAGATATGTAATTTACGCTGAAATAAAAATAAATGAAAGAAGGAAAATGTAAAGAAAGGATAAACTTTTTATCAATTTATTTTATAAGTATTGAAATAATTTTCAGTATTTCATATATCTGTTAGAAAAGGGAGATTGAAACTTATTTATTTTAAAGATTATCAAAAATCAGTTAAAAAAAAAAAAACAAACCTCCATTTCTTGCATATGGGCGATACATGCTTGCTGGAAAATATTTAAATTGCTTAAATTAATCAGGTCATTATGCATTCCCAGAGATGGTATTATTTGTGGTTGTGGAGCTAGCGGTGTTGTTGATGATAATGATGATATCGATGGCGCTTCTTGTGGATCTAAAGTTACACCTAAGGAAGTTCCGCTCATTTCATTTGTTGGATTCTCCTTTATTCCTGATGATAGCAATCCCTGCAATTGTATTTTGAAATAAAAATTTCATTTCAAAAGAAAAATTTTTTAAACAGCACAGAAAACTAAGAAAGAATAAAACAAATAATTTAGGTAATAAAAATCTCACTTCATACTTAGAGTCATTCATGCTATCAGCGGAATCGAGATTTTCTGGTGAATTTTTCTCCTGAAGCCGCGCAGCGATTTGATTTAGCTTCAGACCAGCTTTTCGCTTTTTTGCACCTTTATCGCTTTCCTGTTCAATGCCAGATGAACCCTCATCAATGCTGCTTTTTTCAGAACTTGGTGAATCTTGTGATTCACCTGAAATGAAATAAAGCTTTTGTTACCATTCTTTGACCATTCTTCCATTACAATAATATTTCAAATTTTCGCTAGAGCAAGCAAATCTGTTTCGGAAAATCAAATTATTTAAAGTGATTTAATAATTTTATATCTCTCCTAAATAAGTTCAAACACTTTA